ACAGCTTGGCACATAGTAGGTACTCATTAAATGAGTACTTTCATCCCATGACCAAGGTGACCCTGTCTGCCAGAAACTGTGGGCACAGGCCTGGGGGCTCTGAGACAGCCATGGAACAGCTGGATGCCCACGTGGGAGAGAGATCAAGAACAAATGTGGGCAAGAGGACCCTAAGGCCAATTGGTGACCTACTTGGCCACAGGAACAAGAAGGAAAGAACCATAAACAAGCCAGGACAGCTTTCTGAAATCACAGAAAGAGTGGGAACAGCCTAGGGCCACAAGATGTCTCCTAGAAACCTCCCAGCTCCAACCTCCAAAACTGGCAGTCATGCCAAGGAATATTTTTAAATCTTGGAGCCCTGACTACCACCCAGCCCACTTAGATGTCCACCAGCCAAGGGATGAGAGAAATCTGGCAGGTAATAAAAGACACCAGTCTTCTGAGCAAGGTTTGCAAATAGAAGTTGTCCTTCCATTCAACAGAAAACTGCAGCCACTAAAAAAGAATGAGGATCGCCCAATCGGTGTGGCTCAGTGGTTGAGCATCAACCCATGCACTAAGAGGTCGCTGGTTTGATTCCTGGTCAGGGCACATGCCCAGGTTGTGGGCCAGATCCCCAGTGTGGGGTACACAGGAGGTAGTCAATCCATGTTCTCTCTCATCATCTCCCTTTCCTTTCCTCTCTCTCTAAAATCAATAAAGAAAACAAAATAATAATAATAATAATAATAATAATAATAATAATAATAAAAGAATGAGGATAATTGTTATGCACCGATATGAGTGGTCTCCACGAGATTCTATTGAATAAGAAAAGATGAATTTTAAAAGGATTAAATAAAAGTTTGCTCACGCATACTGCCACTATCTCTGGAAGGATGTGTAAGAAGTTAGTGACAGCAGCTGTCTCTCTGGAGTGGAAATGAGCGGTTGAGGAAACAAACACTTAAAATTTGAAAAGGAAAACGCAGCTGCCACCGACCTTAGGGAACTGCTTGATCCCTCCTCTTCCACCAAAGAAGTGAGGGACAGCATATTCCTTCCAGGATGATCTGTCTACAAAAGCAAAGCTGGTTCTATCGGTTCTTTTCGTGTCCCTCAAATCTAAATCCCTTCGGTGACACACAGCTGAGCATACAGTACAAGCTCAAAATAGTATATGCTATGCCCAACCAGAGTGGCTCAGTGGTTGAACATCAACCCATGCACCAAGAAGTTGCCAGTTTGATTCCCAGTCAGGGCACATGCCCAGGTTGTGGGCCAAATCCCCGGGGGTTGGGGGGGCACACAGGAGGCAGCCAATCGATGTTCTCTCTCATTGATGTTTCCAGCTCTCTCTCCCTCTCCTTTCCTCTCTCTTTAAAATAAAGAAAATAATTTTTTTAAATATTTGCTGAATGAGTGAGTAAATGAATAAATGAATGAATGAACCAGATCACATTTTATCTCTTGATCTTTATGTATTGAAAAATGTGTTAGTGAAAAAATAATATCACAGAATATTAAGTCAAGAATTACCCTCTGCCCTGGCCGGTTTGGCTCAGCGGTTAGAGCATCGGCCTGCGGTCCAGAGAGACCCGGGTTCGGTTCCCGCTAAGGGCGCGTACTTCGGTTGCAGTTAGTCCCCGGCCCTGGTTGGTTGTGCGGGTGGCAGCCACTCGATGTGTCCCTTTCATGTCGATGTTTCTCTCTCTCTCTCTTCCTCTCTCTCCCTCCCACTCTATCTGTACAAAAAATGGAAAAATGTCCTCAGGTGAGGATAAAAATAAAACAAAATAAAATAGAATTACCCTCTTTTTAAAAAATAAAATACTTATATATACTGTGTATTAAATTATACTGTATATTATTATATCCATGCATATATGTATATATGTATATATATCCATGTGGTGTGTGTAGATATATGTAGATATATGTATGTATATGTACATGATTATTGATCTATAAATAAAAAAATTCTAGAAAGACCCCAAACTTGATGATTCTATATCTTGATCTTAGTGGTGACAACACTGGTGTAAATATGGGTAAAAATTCATCAGTCTGTACTTAAAAACTGTACAGTGTCCTATATATAGTCATATCTCAATCTTTTAAAAGGAAAAAATATATATACATCCCCAGGTATTATTAGATATCATCTCCTGGGACAGTTGGGATTATGGGAAGTTTTGATTTCCAATGTATATCTGAATGGTTTACAACAAGCACACAAGTATGAATCTTTTATATACATATTTTTAAATATATATATATATTTTTTTTTCAATTCACATTTTCAAACTCTTAGGCTTAGCACACAAAACTTTCCACATTTTCAACAGCCTACACCCTTCATTCCAACCACATCAAACTGCTTATGTTCTTCAAATGTGTCATGCTGTTTCTTACCTCCAGGCCTTTACCTTTGTTGCTTTCTCCTCCCAAAACACCCTCTCCCACTTCCTTGACTCCTCCCATCTACCTAGCTTGTCTAGTCTTTAAGCCTCAACTTAAGTGTCACCTCCCCCAGAAAGCCTCCCTTGACTTTCCCAGGCAGGGTCAAATACTTTAGAAATACCTTAGAGTTGACTCCATCACAGCACTTGACTCACTTGTCCATCTCACCCATCCCACCAAGAGCTCCTTAAAGTAGGGATTGGAGTGATGCAGCCACAGGCCACAGAACACCTGGAGCCACCAAAAGCTGGAAGGGGCGAGGAAGGATCCTCCCCTACAGCTTCCAGAAGGAGTACAGGCCCCCTCATTCCTTGAATTCAGTCTGGTGATGCTGATTTCAGACTCCTGGCTTCCAGAAGAGCAAAATAATAAACTTCTGGTGTTTTAAGCCACCAAGTTTGTAGTAATTTGTTACAGCAGCCCTAAGAAACTAATACAATTGGCACCTCCTTTTTGGAAAACAGTCTGGCAAAACCAAATTATAAAACTGGTTATATGCATTACAATGAGACAGCAATTTTCCTTAGTATAAGCCCTGAAGAAATGCTTGCCCAAGTCCAGCAGAGAACATGTATAAGGACATTCCTCTCATTGTTTATAATGACAAAACCTAGAACCAAGTCACATGTTCCTCCACAGGAGAATGCATAAACTGTGGTGTGTTCACACAGTGGAATGTTACACAGCAGGAAAAATGAACAAACCACAGTTATTTGCAACAACAAACATCCATTTCACATACCCAAAATTCGGCGGAAGAAGTGAGTTACAGAAAATATTAACAGTACGAATCCATTTCTATAACATTCAACAACAGGTAAAACTAAACAATACATTGTTTTGGTGTTTAAACTATAAAGAAAAGTGGGGAGCCTGGCTGCTGTGGCTCAGTAAATTGAGCCTCCTCCCATGGATGGAGAGGTTGGGGTTCAGTTCCTGGTCAGGGCACATGCCCGGGGTTGGAGCTTCATCCCCAGTGGGGGCATGCAGGAGGCAGCCCATCAGCATTTCTCTCTCTCTCTCTCTCTAAAAAAATCAATAAAAACATATTTTTAAAAATAGAAAGAAAAGGGGGGAAATGATTAAAGCAACCTTCCAGATAGTGGTTACTTGAGGGAAAGGAGGGTCTACAGGGGGCCTCTAGGTAAGGTGTCCATACATTTTATTGCTTCACTGACACATTTAGGGGGATGAAAAGGAGGGTGCTGGTAATAATTACAGCAGAAAACACCTAAAAACCAAAACGGTCCCAGACAAACCAGAACATAGGATAACCCCACTTCTGAGGCATGATAAGTTTCTCTTTCATGGCCTGGTTGGTGTAAACATGGGTATTTGTTTTATTAGTGCTTTTGAAACTGGACGAATTCATTTTATGTATTAATATATGTCATCATATTTTTTTTCAACCAACAAATGAGTAAGGTGAATTCCAGAATCTATTTAGTTTTTAGTAGCAACTCCAGGCACAAATGCTGATTCTGGCTAAATTCAGCAGAATAGGAATTTATTACAGGGAGAGCCGGTGAGTTCACACAATTGCCGAGAAGGCTGGAGAAGGGCGGAAAACAGGCACAGACAGAGGGCTGGCACACGGGCCACCTCCCCCAGAAACCTGCCCGGGGCCAGGACCAGGCTGCTGGGGACACCAGCTCCTCTGGCGGAGCCCTGCCCAGGGCGGCTGCTGCAGCCCACCCGGCCCGGCTTGGCCAATGCGCTGACCTCAGTACGGCTACTGTCCCTGGAACCTAGCCAGTGTCACCGCTTCTACATCATACCCCCCCCAAATTTCTCCTTGAACCTTCTGCTTCGCCGACTGCAAGGTTAAAAATCCTCGGTGGGTGCATCTAATTGGCTAACTTGGCTGCAAGGAATTCTGAGAAAGCGAGTTTCTAGAAACTTCTGCGTCCTTGGGTGGGCGCTGCCTGCCCGCATGAAAGCCCTACTCTGGGGAGTCCCAGATTCAGGACGGGGACACAAATGCTGGGCAGCTGAAGGATGGAACGCCGGGCCCGTCAGAGACGAAGGACAAACCCCAAGATGGATCTCAAAGGATCGAAAGGATCTCCAAGGCAGCCAAGTTCCAGAATTCCGGAACTCCCCTCACCAGCAGGACTCAGGTTCAGTAAAGACCAAGAGTGAGGCGGGTACAGTTAGCATTCCAGTTGGTGTGAGGGTCACCGCTGACGGAAGCAGCCGGGTTTAATGGGGGCAAACCCCACTGATTTGCTCACCTGCTGGTCCACATGCTTCTTGTAGCCACTTTCTAGACCAGCTGGGTCCCTGATTGGGCCAGCCATGATCACCTGATTCAAAGCGAAGCAACCCATTGGCTGGCCAGGAACCAATTAGAATCTCTCTTCCTCCCTCCCTGTCCCCTCCCCCCCAGGTTCCCAAACTTCCTCAGTTCTTGGTGAACCTCGTGACTCAGTCTTTTTTTTTTTTTTCCCACGGTGGCGTTATGACGAAAGAAATACCGAACGCTTACGTTTATTAAGTTGTTAGGTCCAAGCGACGTCATCCTTAGGGCCTAACAATTTAGCAGACTTCGAAACAGTAACTGGAAAGGCAGACATTTAAATTCAATCCTGAGTAACCACGGCTGCTCTCTAGTGGGATGTGTGTGCCTGTTGGGACTGCACAGGCTCTGAAGCCTTGGAAGCCGATTGGACGACATCTTATTTCCTGTGCCAGGTTGACTTTCAGGTCATTGTGTTTTGTTTTGTTTTTATTCCAGGAACCACGGAAAACCCAGCTTGCAAAGATATGACATCATGGAAAGGAACGGCGTGCAGTTTAATGCTGAAACTACCTGGAGCTAGCAGTTCACCAGGCATCTGAGAGAGGTCAAGTCTCACTGTAAGTGCCTTGAAGATGTGAAGTAATCCATGGTGCCCCTGGGAGTTGGCTGTGGGGCTCCAGGCTGCCTTGGTACACAATTTGAAATTCTCTAAATGTCTAAAGCATAAGCTAAGGGACACAGGTGGTCAAACAGTGGTGGAATCAGGGAAGGGTTGGGTGTTTTCTTGCTGAGGCAAGAAAAAATAATCAGGGAAAACCTATTTGCAGAGAGAAGAGGGAGAATCACAATATAGAGAAGTGAAGACCCTCAGGTGTGGCTCAGTGGTCGAGCATCGACCTATGCACCAAGAGGTTGCCAGTTCGATTCCTGGTCAGGGCACATGACCAGGTTGTGGGCCAAATCCACAGTAGGGGGCCTGCAGGAGGCGGCCAATCAATGTTCGCTCTCATCGATGTTTCTATCTCTCTCCCTCTCCCTTCCTCTTTCTTTCATATCAATAAAGAAAAAAAAATTTTTTAATATATAGACAGAAGCCAAGAGGCCCCAGAGGAAGTAGAACAGAAAGGGCAACCTAATATAGTACTGCCTGTGATTGGTTTCTGTGATCTAGCCCCAGAATCCATGCTTGACATTGAACTCCTGATCTGTTGCCCTAAACCAGCCCCTCCTACAGTCTCTCCTGGACTCAGGGAATGGCAGCAGGCACCTCTATCCTTCTGGTTGCTCAGGCCAAAACTCTAGATCATCCTTGAGTCTCAAATACCATGCCCAATTCGTTAGTAAATTCTGTGACCTCTTGCCTCCAAATAGGACCACTTATCCCCATCTCCGTGCTGCTACTGGTTCAGCCACCGGCACCTTCACCTGGATAAGGCCGTGGCCTTCTCACTGGTGCCCTGCTTCTGCCTGGTCTATTCTCAGCCCAGCAGCCAGAGGGATCGTCTTCAAATGTCAGTCAATTCTGGGCTCTGAACCCTCTGATGGCCCCCATCTCACTCAGCATCAAAGCCAAAGCCATTAACATGGCCATGAGGCCCTATGGCAATTAGCCACATCAGTCTCCTTGCTGGTGCTGAAACATGCCAGGCATAGTCCTGTCTCAGAGCCTTTGCCCTGGCTTTTCCCACTGCTTGGAAGATCGATCCCCAGATATTTCATGTCTCACTGCCTTACTTCCCTCAGTCTCAGTTCAAGTATCACTTGGCCAGTGAGTCCTTTTCTGACCACCTTTATAAAACAGAAATAGCCCCCGCACTCCCAGCACTCCCTGGCCCCTCACCTTTGGGCGGGATCGCGAAGTTGTGGGACCTGACGCCGAATCAATGAACTCATGTACAAAAAAGTATAGCCAAAGGCTTCATTCGATTTTTTTCAACAAATGTGTACTAAGCACTACTGTGTGTCAGACATTGAGCTGGGCACTGAGGGTAGAGTGGCCGCTTCCATTGAAAGCTGGCCTCCTCAAATCACCCATCACCCACAATCAGTGTCTTAGCTCATGTTCCCTAGATAACTATGTCCCTCCCTCTCTACTTGGGAATTATAATTTGGGAGGTGCTTAGAACTGACTGGAAATCCTGAGTTAGATTGCCTGGGTAAGTCTCCATCCTAGATTCCTACAGATCCAGTCACCACCGGGAATCACCCTGCCCTGGGCTGAGTATCCAGCTCCCACTCTGGATGGCAGGTGGCCGGACTGGCCAGGGAAGAGCTCTGCTCCTTCACCCGGAGGCTGCCAGGGCTGTGAGCAAGAACACAGGCCGGGCCATGGGTACGACTTAATTTCTAACGTTTATATTTGAGACACATGGTATTTGGATCTCCATTTGTACTCTTATCCCAGACCGTGCCAATGTTTCAGGCAGGTTCTAGATTCTGGTAGAGGAATGGCAAATTGCCAACGTGACAGCCCCCTCCCAGGCCATGGCAAACCTCAGTAATGGATCACAGCATTCCTTCTCCCCGAAATGTGGCCTCATACAGTGCTCTGGGAAGCCACCACTGACCACCCATCAGCACAGGAAGTGCAAGGGCATTTCCTTTCCCTGCTCTCGCACTTTCTACATGGCAGACTGCCCCACGCCCCACAGCATTCATCAAGACCCTTCTTTCTCGGCTGGGGATTTTTTTTTTTTCTTCTGTTAAAGAGAAACTGCTGATGCTAGATGTTTGTGGAAAACGGATAAACACGCGAATACTATCTTTGGTGCTCCTGAGACCTTCTAATGTTATAAGGAGAAAAGAAAGAAATGAATAAAATAATTCCCCGTTCTGGGAGCACTTATATCAAAAACATTTTTTAAAGCCCACTCTTTCCTCTAATGAGAACAATGCTTTGCATGAGGCCTAACAGAACAGTCTGACTCCCAGTGTTTTTTGGCAGAACAGAAACTCCTGATGGCTCTTTTTGTTTGAAGGTTTGTTTTCTTTCTCTGTGTGGATCTCTGTCTCTTTGGCTGTTTCTTTCTGTTTCTCTCATTGTCCTTTTATATTCTCTGCTCCGTATGTGTTTGTCTGTCTCTCTCAGTCTCTTTGTCCCTCTCTCCGTTGGTGGAATGGCAGCCCATCTCTTTATGTGACTATCTCTTCAAGTATTTCTGTGTGTCTGTGGTTGATTCCACCTCTGTATGTGGGTCTCTCGCTCTCGATCTTTGTCGGCTTCTCTCTCTTCCTCTGTATGTTTGTGTCTGACTTTCTCTATATAAGTCTGTCTCATCTGTCTTTCTCTTCCATGTTTGTGTCTGTCTCTGAATCTCTCACTCTGTGTGTTTCTCTGTCTCTCTCCATCTCCCTGCTTGGGTCTCCTCTCCCTCCATTTCTCTCTCTCTTCCCTCCCCACCCCACTTTCTCTTTGTCTTTCGGTCTCTCCCCATCCTCACCCTTCCCCCTTTAATCCACCATTTCTCTTTTTTCCTCCCCCTTTTCCTCCTCTACAGGCCTGAGGTTGGGTCCAGACAGCATGACAGTGAATATAAAGTGAAAAGTCACCCAGAGGTTTCCAGGCCGCCAGATGTGCAATATATTTAGACAGAACAGCTGGATAATTTAACAACTTCCTTGTTTTCCCCGGAACGTCAGCCGCCGGGGCGTCTCAGACAGTGTCTTTGTGAGGACACACATGTGTATGCTACTCGTGTGTTCACTCATAAGACCCTGTACACAAGTCACTGTTTTCCCCAAACCCCCACGTGTATCATTAACGTAATCGGATTCAGATTTCTTTCCCTGCAATTTCCCTCATTTTCCTCCTCCTTTGTAGACTGACTTAGAAACCCGGTGCTGTTTGTGGATCTCAAAGCCCTTCCACCTGCATCCTGAGATCTTTATCATGATCTCATGAGTGAGCTGTTTGGAAAGATAAAATAAAATGAGGAAGGAGTGCCCGAAGGAAACCCTAGAGAAAACTGGAAAGAAACCCCTCAAATATAGGGCATTGTGTTCTTCTTGACCCCATTTTTCAGATGAAAAAAACTGATAGACAAACTCTAGCACCCAAAAGCTCAACAGAACTAGTACTTTAATCCAGAACTCCTAGCTCCCAACATGCAACTCAACTCCCAGCATCACAGAGACCGTCACAGGCCATAGACTCCAAGCCTCCTGTCACAGTTGAGTGTGACTTTTTGAGGTGTAGTCCTGTGGGCGGAGTATATTTTAAGTGCAGATGAGAGAAAAGTAAATATTTGTGACCAAGAGGACAGACACAGTAGATTGTATTACTGTTTTCCATTTTTTACTCCTTCCTCCTTTTCCTATAAAAGGTTTATATATTGTTATCTCCATTAACTTGGCTAAATGACAGGCTTTGGCTAAGAGGAAGTGCGTGGGACACACATCACATCCAAGTGAGGACTTTAAGAGGCATTGCTGGAATTTTCACCTGTCTCCTTGTACTTCCCCTTGGCCACAAGAATAGGCATGGCCCACAGGGCTCAGAATGTGAAGACACGTGGAGCAGAGCCCTGTGGAACCACATCTGTAGCCACTGACATTAACAAGAGCAAGAAATGCATGTTTGTTGTTACAAACCACTGAGATCTTAGGGTTGTTTGTTATGCAGCAAAGCTGACTTGCATGTCTATCCCCAGCTGCTGGGAAGGGCTTGAAGGCAGGTAGACCTTGGTTCAAATCCCAGCTCTGCTAATGCTGAATGACCTTGAGCAAGTCACTTTACCTCTTGGAGTTCAATGGGGATAATAACAGTGCTAAGGTAAAGATTAGGTGAGATAATGTAGATAAGGGGCTTGGAATTGAGAAAGGGCTCTGCTAAGAAGAAAGAAAAAAGTCTGCAGCAAGGTCTTTTTTTTTTAGGTGGAAGGGCCAGTTCAGCTGACATATCAGACCCCAAGCCTAATCCTGGGCCTCAAATTGGGACCGGAACTTCTCTGAGTCAGGTTATGGCGCAGTACTGCTAAATAACCTGGTGAAGATAGATACAAAGTTTAGGTTGACAAGAACCCCACAACAGCCTCCAGTTTAAACTCTATCAGCTTTCTTCCCCACAGTCCTCTCCCCAGCCTCGGGCCTCTGAAAGAAACCCTCCCCCACGAAAAAACCACAAAAACAGAAAACCCACAGCTTCAGGTGCTGTAGCTTGAACTCTAAAAAGTCACAACAAATGGCAAATTTGTTTGTGCTGATCTTATCAATAGGTGCCCTTCCTGTTAAACTGTTTGGAAAGAGAAGTTAGTCTACTCTTCAAAGTTTGCCTGCCCTTGGCTGGACTGGATGACCTTGAACTTTCAGGCAACATTTTATGGTGTGGAAGTAGCCCATCTAAGAAGTCTGTGCACACACAGTTTCACAGCCATGCACATACACATGTGTGCATATACAACAACATATACACCTGCACGCAAAGATTGATTTATCTAGTTCTCTGTTTAGGTGACTTCCAGGTTCTTTCTAAGTTGCTAGTTTTGTCTGCGCCTAAAAGCAAAGTTGATATGTATTGGCAGTCTCTGTAGAGTCTAAGACTCCAGGCTCTGCTTAGTTTGAGTTACCCAAAGAGACTCACAAAGATTCTATTGCAAAGTATTTATTTGAGAGGCAATTCCAGGAAATATCAAGAAGAGAGTAGGGAAGTGAGAAAGAGAAGGGAAGGAAGTTAATGAAGAAATGCATTTTGTCAAGCAAATTACCGCCGTGGGCATCTGGAGCTCAGTTCTGCAGGGGAGCACTGGGAACCATTTAGAACATGCCTCAGAATTACCCCGTCTGAGGGACGAGGGAGCTAGGGTATTTGTCTTCCAACTCCCAACAGTCATTGGTCGGGGGATGCTCCCAGGGACATCAACTCCCTGGCACTTCTGATTTGCCCCACACTTGCCCAGCAAACCCTGGTGAACAGAGTCAAGTCCTACTGGTCCAAGTTAGCAGGTCCAAGACTAGAGGGAGGTGAGGTGTTTTGGTTGCAAAATTTAAGGAGGTGCTCACTCTCAGGGCTATGGAAGTGCAGGGTGGGAGGTTTGAACCATCAGAAGGGCTTTCACAGAAAGGATACGGGGGAGGCACTGGCAGCCTCTGCTTCGGGCTCTGCAGCCAGGCTGCCTGGGTTTGAATCCCAGCTCAGTTGCTCAAGGGCGACTAACTTAACTTCCCTATGACTCTGCTTCCACATCTGTAAACTGGGATAATTATAGTACTTACCTCATTGCACCTTTGTGACGATTGCACAGGATGATTCACAAAAAATGCTTAGAACAGACTTGGACAAAAATAAGCCTCCCATGAGCATTAGCTCTGATGACATTGCAATGAATTCACAGTGCACATATCCTGATGTCATTTTTCTAGAATCAAAGGAGCAAGATCACCTAACCGTTAAGAAAAATCAGGCGGATGAGGGTTCAAGTCACATGATCTACCACTTACTGTGTGATCATGGGCCAGTCACTTAACCTCTCTGGGCCTCAGATCCCTGATGTTTAAAATCATTATTAAATAATAAATGCTTTACCACAATTGGTGGGAAGCACTTCTTCCAGAAACCACCAGTGTGGCCCAGATCCTCAGCAGAGGAGCCAGAGGGCTAAGTGTTTCAGGCCACACAAACCCGGGATCCACGGGCTTTCTGCTAAGCTGAGGCAGCGGCCCCTTACTGCAATCGGTATTTCCCAGGAGAAAAGGCCAAGAGGGTGTCTGGGGACCTCCAGTTTCTCTGCCTAGTCCTTCTGCTATGGGCAGTGTTCAATGGTTTGCCAATGTGCTGGTGAGGAAACACTGACACCAAAAAAATTGCCAGAACTATGTAGGGGGAGGGACGAGGTGATATCACATCGCATATTTATTATTATTTCTGTCTTATGTGTTTCACTTTTTCTTTTTTGAAACTGTCTCAGATTGTATATATATATATATTTTTTTAAAATATATTTTTAGCCCTGGCTGATTTAGTTCAGTGGTTAGAGTGTCACCCTGCGGAACAAAGAGTCCCAGGTTGGTTCGATTCTAGCCAAGGGCATGTAGCTCAGTTGCAGTTTGTCCCCAGCCCCGGTTGAGGTCATGTGGGTGGCAACCAATTGATGTGTCTCTCTCACATCGGTCTCTCTCTCTCTCTCTCTCTCTCTCTCTCTCTCTCTCTCTTCCTCTCTCCTTCCCTCCTGCTCTATCTGAAGATAAATGCAAAAATATCCTTGGGTGAGGATTAAAAAATATTTTTCAATTGATTTTAGAGATAGAGGAAGGGAGAGGGAGAAAGAGAGAGAGAAACATCAATGAGGGAGAACATCAATTGGCCGCCTCCTGCATGCCACCCACTGAGGATCAGGCCCACAACCCGGGCAAGAGCCCTGACCGGGAATTGAACCTGCGACCTTTTGGTGCATGGGTTGATGCTCAACCAGTGAGCCACACCAGTGGGGTTGTATATTTATTTCTTAATAAACCATCTCAGGCATTAAAAAATTAGAGTCCCCAGAATGAACAACCCAAATGCCTCCCAACAGATGAATGGATAAACACATTCTTATCTCTCCATACTATGGATACTACTAGAAATAAAAAGGAATAGACACACCACATGTATGAATCTTAAAAACATTATGCTGAGTGAAAGAACCCAGGTACAAAAAGAGCCCACTCTCTATGATCTCATTTATTGAAAACTCTAGAAAAAATAAACCTAATCTGTAACGGTAGAAAGCAAATCAGTGGTTGCCCGGGACTGGGCTTGGGGGGGGGGGGGGGTTAGTTTTATGTGAACTTCATCTCCACTTTAAAAAGGGAGGAGGGCTTGTGCCTCCCTGAATTAAGGAGGATGAAATTCATCAAGGGCACAAATACAAAGCTCCCAGCACTGTGTTTTGCTGGGAGGCACCATTACCATCTTGGTCCTTGTGGGGGGAGGCAGGGCTTACTGAGAGTGTTTTACCTACTGCATCAAGCTAGTGACTTGCCTGAAGCCAAACGCTGAATCGCTTGTGGACTCTGCACCACAACTTGGCTTTTCCAATCTGTGAGTCCAGACTAAGTTCTCTCCATGCTACTTCTACTTGGTAACTAGAATGGTACATCACTATTTATAAAATATTTTTCTCCACATGGTTTTCTAACACCCATGCCTTCAGAGGCTCAGCCAGGCAAGGTGGTTAGAGTAGTCAGACAAAGCTGGGTTCAAATCCAGGCTCCATCATTTCCGATCTGTGTGTCTTTGGGCAAGTCACCCAACCTTTCTGAACCTTGGTTTTACCATCTATAAAATGAGAAAAATGACTTACCCTATGTATTAAGTAAGAATGAAGTCGGAAAGTATATCTAAAGCAAGAGTTACGTCAATGACTGGCACATAGTAAATTCCGATTAAATGACGGCTATTAATATTTGCAGTCAAAGAAGCTACTCTGGTAAAGCACTTAACACATAGGGTTAGGAGTGACAGGAAAATAAATGTCAAAGCCACTTTACCACAGGCCCCACATGCTCCTAAGGAGTGGTTCTCAACCAGGAGTGGTGAGGATGATTTTGACACCCCAGGGTACATTTGGTAGTGCCTGGAGACATTTTGTGAATGTCATGATTGGGAAGAGGGGGTATGCTTCTGGCATGTAGTGGGTGGAGGTCAGGGAAGGTGCTACCATGCATAGGATGGTCCCCACAACAGAGAATAATCTGGCCCCAAATGCCACTAGCGCTCAGGCTGAGAGACCCTGCTCTAAAGTGAGCCTCCATTTGTCATTTATCAGATTCCAAATGACAGTGCAATCCACCCTCCGGATGCCAGGGCAGCTGGCTGCTTTCCTGACCATGGAGTGAATCATTTTGTGAACTAAGGAACATTTAGCAAGGCGGTAATCATCCTAATTTCTCTGTTGGGTAAATCCAGGTGGAAGTATATGTGAAGCCTTCTCAAAGAGAGACACATCCAACATCAACATGGACTCTATGAGGGCCAAGGATGGTTCAAGAGATTTGGAAAGACCCATCTAAACCCCACTCCACAAAGAAGGCTTCTGGGAGCATTCCAAAGAATCTGCTCTCCATGATCATGCATGAAAAGCCGTGAGCACGGAGACTGGGCCACAGTAAGCACTCAATAAATGCTAGCTATTCTCATCATCTTTTTTTTTTTTTTTTTTTAATCCTCATCCGAGGACATTTTTCCATTTTTTGTACAGACAGAGTGGGAGGGAGAGAGGAAGAGAGAGAGAGGGAAACATCGATGTGAAAGGGACACATCGAGTGGCTGCCACCCGCACGACCAACCAGGGCCGGGGACAAACTGCAACCGAGGTACATGCCCTTAGCGGGAACCGAACCCGGGTCTCTCCGGACCGCAGGCGGACGCTCTAACCGCTGAGCCAAACCGGCCAGGGCTATTCTCATCATCTTCATCATTGTCCTCATTATTACTATTATCTCCCCAAGTACATTGGAAAGTATATTCTCACAACAACCTTTTGAGATGGGTGATATCGTCCCCATTTTGCAGATGAGGAAACTGAGGCTCTGAACATAGATGCTATATTCATCACCCCCCCACCCTGATCTCACAGTTTCTACTCCCGTCCACCTATAGTCCAAAGGGCTCTTTTAAAAATGAAATCAGCCCTGGCCGGTTTGGCTCAGCGGTTAGAGCATCGGCCTGCGGTCCGGAGAGACCCGGGTTCGGTTCCCGCTAAGGGCATGTACCTTGGTTGCAGTTTGTCCCCGGCCCTGGTTGGTCGTGCGGGTGGCAGCCACTCGATGTGTCCCTTTCACGTCGATGTTTCTCTCTCTCTCTTCCTCTCTCTCCCTCCTACTCTATCTGTGCAAAAAATGGAAAAATGTCCTCGGGTGAGGATAAAAAAAAAAAAAAAAAAAATGAAATCAGATCTTATTTAGGAGAAGAGGCTCTTTGGGTAATGATGTTATATATTTTATGACCTAACATTTCTTTATGATTTAGGTCTTTTGAAATATTAAGAGAAAGGCCATGGTTATGTAAGATGGTAACATTAAGGGGCAACTGAGTGAAAGGTATGTGGAAACTCTTCGTACTATCTTTGCAACTTCTCAGTAAATCTAAAATTATTTCAAAATAAAAAGCTTATTTAAAAATGAATCAGACCATGTTATTCCTCTGCCTGAATCCCTCTAGTGGTTTCCCAGTGGGCTTAGAATAAAATCTGAATGTCTTCCTGTAATCTGACCCTGAGTAATCTGGCCTTTGCCCACCTCGACTTCCTCTCCTAACACTCTCCCCCTTGCACTGCACTCCAGCCACTGTAGCCTTTTTTTCATTCCTCCAACATAAGATTGTTCCTGCCTCAGGGCCTTTGCACTTGCTGTTTCCTTGTTAGGACTACTCTCCTCTGTGTAGTTCTTTCCATGACTTTCTTTCTCATTTTTCCAAACTTGAGTCAAATGTCAAATCCTCCGGGGGGGGGGAAGGGGGGGCTGGGAGGTGGGAGGGGGGTTGGAGTTTCTAAATAAAATATAAATAAATAAATAAAAAGTCAAATCCTCACAGTCCCTCTCCTATGTGGTCCTATGACCCCTTCTAATTCAATCACAAAACTCAGGACTCTCCGGAATTATCTTCATTAATTGTTTCTCTTGTCCTATCTGTTTCCTCCACTAGACTGGGAGCTCAATGAGGACTACACTATGCTAATTTGCTCACTACTGTGTCCCCAGCTTCTCACACAGGGTAAGGCCTCAATAAACATTTGCCAAATGGCTTTCACCTATATTTCCCCCCATGATTCCCTACTTTGTACAAAACCTCCAAAACATTCAGGCAGGTTCAGATTCTCTGGCAAACCTTATTCACAACACTTTTCTGAATCATTTAACAATAATCCTAATGCCTACTAAATAGGGGGAGAGTGAAGAGTTCACCCCCAACTTTCTAGAACAAAGTTCCAAATTGTTGGCCTAGGGCCAAATGTAACCCACAGATATGCTTTGTCAGCCTCACACAGTGTTTTAGAATTTGAGCTCATGACCAACTTTTCAAAATGGAAACATTTTACATAAAAATCCATATGCCCAGGTTCTCCTGAAAACACAGAGGATCTGGCTACCCTGAGCCCCAGTTTCTCACATGGCCACAGCGGACCAGAGCTGGGAAGTAGCCACTCCCCAGATAGGGTGTGTGCTCTCCAGTTCACCCAGACCCCATCCACCGGGCTTACTTCTTTGGTTTTATTAGTCTGGACCCTTTAGGCACCGGGATCCCCCTCAAACTTACAGTATCCTTAGAAATACTATTGGTTTTCAAGTATTTTAGCTTCAGCCCCCTCTTCAAATCTTCAGATCTTACATGGAAGCTCAATGTCTAAAACAAGTAACAGTAATAATAGTTCATTTTGATCGAGTGCTTACTTTGTGCCATAGTTATGCTTTCATTGACTGCAGGGGTTGGGACCAGAACCCCATCAGATCCCCATCATCTTTAGCAAGCCTCTAAAAAATAAATAAATAAATAAATAAATTGTGGATTTAAGGAAGACCATTGGAAAAGTATATTTTAATCCACTATTTTTATTTTACAAATAGGCGAACTACAGAGGGGAAGGGACACTGTACTTATTAGACAGTTGCCTTCCTGTCAAATGCTTGTCTGCTGGTCCTTAAGGAGAACACTCATGTTGATAATGGCAGAGAAAGGCCAACAGAGGATCAGTTTGTTCCTCCCAGAGCTCTCGGCTCTGTTCTGGGAGCCGCTCAGGCCTACTGTCTTAAGCTCATGCCACTCTCAGGCTCAGAGCCAGCTACTTCTCTTAGACATGTGCCAACAAAACTGGACTCTGGAGGGGAGTAGCCCAGCAGAGAATGGTGTGTGGACAGAACCCCTCCCCATGTCCCAGTCCAGTCTGAAGTCCTTCTCCAGCCCTGATGATGTCAGCAGATGGTAACACACTTGCTATTTTGTATATCTAAAGTTATGGCACTCTTATTGTGGGTACAGACAGGTTTCGAACATTCCACTGGGTTCCACATTTGCTATGTGCCTAGTGAGTGCCAGGGTTGTGCTAAGTGCTGGGGATTCACAGCAGAGATGTATTGAATATAAAAGGGCTTTGATTTCTAGCTGTCCGGAGTTCCAGCCCTGGCTTTGTAACTTACTTCTGTGTGACCTTCAGCAAACAACCTTGCCTCTCTGGTTCTCACTTTATTCATCTGTAAAACGAATGTGATGGGAATAGTACATAATTCCTAGGATTGTTTTGGGAATTCAGTGAGATAATTTTTGGCACACAATAAGAAAATAAGTGCAGTGTTTGTTTTTTTCCTCCACTGCATTTATCAGACACTGTTTTTATTTGCATCTTTGTTTATTGTCTGTCCGACTTACTAGATGACTCTCCATGAGAGAAGGGCCTTGTCTGTCTTGCTCACCCCTGTTTCCCTGCCTGGAACAATGTCTGGCACAGAGTAGGTGCTCTGTAAACATTTGTCTGCTGAATGAATCACTGTCTTTCATATTCCTGCTCTAATTGCCATCGCCATGATGCGCCCTGCCCTGGAGGAGGCCAAAATCTGGACTCCTCGGGGAGTAGCCACCATGACCTGGACATCCAGCTGTTCACAACAGCCCTGGGTGTCGGCCCTGAGTGTCACCAACTGGGCTGACAAATGACACTTGTGTGTCTTCTGGTGAACAGAGCTACAGCTCTAGAGAGTGAGCTGGTGACTGGAGAAAGTAGAATGAGCAGCTGGGCAGAGCAGGGGAAGCCCCGAGCCTCAGTGCCCTGGCGACAGGAGCAAGGAGTCCACAGGTCCACATGTAAGGAGTCCATGCCCGGTGCCGCTTGAGCCCCTAGAGGACACCGCTTCTGATTACGGATGCCTGGGTGGTGCAACCGCATCGATGGCATTTGGGGATTGGAATTCGTGCACCCTGCGTGCCTTGAAAAACAAAATTAATTTCTCAGGGTACTGAGAGTGCTTTACAAATTGGAAAGCACTGCAGAAAAAAACAGATAAATGAAAAGGTCAGGATCCGAGAGAGCAAATGTGCTTGTTTGCCGTGTGGGTTGCACTTCCAATCCCAGCTAAAGGCAACGCGCCGCTTGGAGGTGGCAAATTTTGGAGGCCTCCCGGAGAGAGATAAACTCGGTGTCCGAAGGCAATGGGCCAGTGTCTGCAGAACCCAGGACCCGCCCGCAATATCAGCCTCTGAGAACTCGCTCTTGTTTTCTGGCCTTCAGCTCCGACGCGCGAAATCTGCACATTCTCCCTTCAACCCTGGTTCACCTTCGTGCGGGCTAGAATCGGGGTAACCGTTCCGATTATTATATAAGTCCCGTGTTCAAGGGAGATCATGCAAACATAAGAATAATGAAACACATTGTTGAGGGTGAGTTAAACGTTTCCCCAATGTAAAAGTTACAGAGCGCGCGCGCACACACACACACATATCCATATTCCTACCATTCAGAATGAATAACTGTCAACATTTTGATTTATCTGGGAGAGGGCTTTCCCTTCTCCCCAAGTCTCAGCAGATTTGAATCCAAAATACGTCAACCTATTTCTCTCTCTTTTTCTCTCCCGCTCCACCTCTATCCCAGGTTTATCTAATTCCAGGAGTCCCTAATTCCCTCGGTGGGCTTCCACACTGCAGGTCTGCAGACATCTGGCCCTAGTGCACAGCACCCTGCAGAGGCCGCGATGCTCCCGTGCACGGCTGCATCCTTCCCCCAGCCCCAAGTCCCGCGTGCAGTTTTGCAACTCCCGCTCCCGCCAGGGGGCCTATTTGCGCTGCTCGTTTGGCGGAAGGATCCCGCCGGCCGTCTCAGTTACTCTCAACCGTCTCCTCCTTCCCGCGCCCTGGCCCCGCCCCCGTGGCGTCCAGGCCCCGCCCCCGCCCGCGCGCCCTAAGGCCCACGAAGAAGTTCCGGCCGGGCCGCTGCACTCTCCCGCGCGCATCCGTGCGCCGCCCGAGGCTAGCTCAGGAGTCGGCGGCCATTTTGTTCTTCTCGTGGTTCCAGTGGGGAGAGAGGAGGAAGCAGGGAGCGGGGCGGTTGGGGGGACCCGCCGCGGCTGCTGCCACCGCCGCCGCCACCACCGCCTCTGTGCTCGTGGCTTGGGAAAGGGGGCGTGAGTCCCGGGCGCGAGCCGCCGGCGGCGCCGCTGCGGGAGAGTCGGCGGTGGGAAGGCGATGGCGGATATAGATAAACTCAACATCGACAGCATCATCCAACGGCTGCTGGAAGGTGAAGGGGGCGGCGGGTGGGCTGGGAGGAGGCGGGCGGCTGGGGAGGAGTGGAGTTGGGAGGCCGGTTGGGCTTGCAGCGCCGGCGGGAGGGAGCCCTCGCCTTGGCCCTCCAGCCGGGGGCTGCCGGGGCAGGGAGGCCGGCCGGAGTCCCGCGCTTGGCCCAGCCCGCAGACGCACCCGGCTCCGCTCATTCATTGCACCGGGCTGCAGCCTTCCTCCTGGCCCAGAAATTGGAAAACTCTGCTCCCCACCCCCACGTTTTCGGCCCGAACCCTGCTCCCCACACCCCGGACCAGTCTTTGGAGGGAGAGAAGGTTGGGGCCCCAGTCCAACCTGCAGGCGTGTGCCGTACTTTCTGGTACTCGTCCCCTCGGAAAGCGATTGGATGGGGTGTGGGTTCCTCCGGATTGGAGGGCTGCTTTCCTATCTCGCCCATGTATATAGATTTTTTTTTTTCGTGAGGCTAGGATCGGGGGTTGGGGGCCCATTTCTTGTTTGGACACCTCTCAAGGAGATGCTGGACCCCACCTCCCCCTGCGCCCCCAAATAACTCTTTGTAAGTTGCCTTGTCCTGACGAGGTCTCCGCGCTCTTTTCTGAACGTGCATCTGAACTGGAAACCAGCGGCGATGACAGTTAGGACCTTTCCAGCGTGCTGGTCTCCGCACCGTGCGTCCATCGGATCGGCCCCAGTCGCGGTGCAAGCGGCGCTCCCTGTGTCTGGGCTTCTTTGAGCACTTTACCTGGATTTCGTTTCCTTCTTCCATCAGCCTCGCGAAGTAGGCGCTATTATTTCCTCCCGTTTTTTGTTTTTTGTTTTCAGAGCAAACTAAGACACAGAGGGGTGAAGTCACTTGACCAAGGTCACACAGTTAGGGACAGATTTCAAAGCCAGGGAGTCAGGAGCTTGCAACCCCTTCAACGAACCCCGTGTGTGAAGGAAGGAGGCGAGGCGCCCAGTGTCCGCGAAGGTTAAAATAAAGCTTTGATTTTGGCTGACCTAAGACTGGCGAGGTGCCTGGCAGTGGATTCACATTGATGTGGATGGAGGGCGGAAGAAGTTCGGAATTTAAAGAGGGACGCGAAAGTGAACTGCCCCCCGCCCTTCGGATCCCAGAGCGGGTCTACTGAGGCTAACGTCTTAATCGAGAATTTGAATCCCTTTCTTCATTAGAGCACTGAATAATGTAGAGTCGACTGAGCCTTAAATTTTTTTTTTTTTTTTTTTTTGCGTTTATATTGTCCTAAATGTTGTTGGACTACAGTGCCGTGAGATGGAGTCCGAGAGCATGAGAACAGTTGGACAGCTCTGATTTTGCAGATCTTTTGAATTAAGTCATTAAGATGAAATTCCTAATATAGCTTAATCTGTGTGAGATTTTTTTCCTTTTATACTTTATTAAAAGAACAGAAAAACCCGTTAAGTGCGATAAGAAATAAATAATACTTCTCATACTAGTTAGTGCAGTCCTTTGAGACAGTTTGCAGTAAGAAAGGAACTTAAGTATTTCTGTTTAAAAATTTTAAATTCTGCATATCTGTAAGGATGTGTGGCTAGATTGAGGTGGGCTTTATGTCAGTGAGAAAACAGGAGAAATGAAATCTGTGGGTTAGAAACCGAGTTTTAAGATCAGTTAAGTTTTGTTTAACTTATGGGTTGTCCAGAAATTAGTATAAAGTCTTGCATTTTAATGCCTCAGGAATAGGCTAGCTTCACAGTATACTTATGTTCTTTTTTTCTCATCGATGTTTAATTGGCAAAGAAACTGATGATCCATTGAGAAGTTAGAAGATGTTGGTACTAAATTTTGTGATTTTTTTGGTGTGTGTGTGGGGGGGTGTCCCCCAAACCTTTTTCGCTAAAAATTTTATTTAAGATTTAAGTATATCTGAAAACGAAGGCAATGTTAATTATCTTCAGAATTGTCTTTTAAGGCGGTGGACTCTACTAGCTAATTGAGCTGTAGCTTCGTCATGATACTAAAAAGGCAACTCAAAAGTGGAGTCTTGTCCCACTGGTGTGGCTCAGTGGTTGAGCAGTGACCCATGCACCAAGAAGTCATTGGGAATCAGTTCGATTCCCAGTCAGGACACATGCCCAGGTTGTGGGCCCAATCCGCAGTGTGGGGCATGCAGGAGGCGGCCCGTCCATGTTCTTTCTCATTGATGTTTCTATCTCTCTCTCCCTGTTACTGCCTCTCTCTCTCAAATCAATAAAGGGAAAAACAATTTTTTTTAAGTGGTCTTATTTAAGAGAAACAGCATGTTGTTGGTTTAGATCTTTAGTCACTACAGCTTTACAGTTCTTCTCTATGCTGTTAATAGTTTTTCTTTAAACAAAGTATCCCTTATGCAACCCATCTTGGAAGGTTTTATCCCAGGTCCGCCTTGCTGATGATAAAAACCTAAAAGTTATTACTCCTTCATATAACTAATGTTAGGTTATTAAATAACTGCACGGTAAAACTTGGGAGATTGAGAAAGAAAATAAGCCAGCTGTTGACTTGGTCTGATATTCTTACCATGTTGGAGAAAAGGGAGGTTGGTTTTACTTTGTAAGCGACCTTGTTCAGGGAGGTAGCACTTTTCTCACATAGCTGGCAGTTGTAATTTATTTCACATCTTAATTTGCAAGAAGCATCTTTGCTTTGAAGATGGCTATTGTCAAACTGCAAGGCCATGGTAGGCTCTGCATAATTGCTTGGCTTGCTTTAGTGATTTAAATATGACCTCTGCCCTGGCCCTTGGAAAACCTTTACTAATTTAATTCTCTGGTGTGTAAGGGTTAATCTGAAGACAGATACTCTGAAACTCTAAAATTGTTTAACCCATGTGTTTATCTTTTTGGTGTGATATGAGACCTGTTTATATTCTAATGCTAAAAAGACAGCATCCCTGATGCTGAAGACAATAAAGGACAAACAATGGGGGAAAATGTTCGTAAAATGCTGACGAAGGAAAACAAAAGTAATCTTTCCTATTGACACCGCTGCGGTTATTTTTTTCTTTACATGTCAGATAATTTTAACACTTAGAGGTTTTACGTGGGATCAGTTATCATAGGGCATTTTGTTGATGAAGATTAAAGTTGTTACTAATTCCCCAATTCACAAGACTGTGTTGTGAGCCCCCTGCTCTTCCCTCCCCTACTGCATGTCAGTTGTATGCTGCATTCTTTCCTACAAGGTAAGACAGGAAAGCTGTACTGGAGACACGAGCTGAGCTTACACCAGTCCTGAACCACAGCATAGAAAGGATTACTTGCCTGACAGTAGCAGGAGGCCAGGCTTCCCTTCTCCGAGCTGGGGAAATGGAGGTGGTAGCGCATCTTGCTGTAGAGGTTGGTGAGATTGTTTTATGTCTTTGAACTGCAGTGCTATAATGACCTGCAACCTGTTCTGCAAAAGCATGTGCCAGTCAGTTCATTTGAATATGTGAGGATTACTGATCTTGAAGCAGGGAAATAATTGATACTATATGGACTTGATCATTTCACTTAATTTACAGTTGAGGTTATTAGTAGACCTTAAAGATTTAAATGTGAAGGAGATAATATTGTGATGTGAATTGATTTGTAAATGAGAAAACTGGAAAGTCTCAGTCTTATTCAAGAAGAATGAGGAATAATTCTGTCTCTGTGGAGTTTATAGAATTCTGAGACAAATTTTTGTTTTAGGATCAGACCCCTGTATCCAAAGAATATAAGAACAGATGATTTTCATAGGAGTCTTGATGATTTATTAGTAATCTCCAATTTCTCCACCACGCTAGGGTTTACTGGCATCTCTCATCTAGAAGAGAGTGGGTATCATAGATGACTAAGGCTTATGAAAATGAAAAACTGCTCCTAAAATTCAACTCAACTCAGATGTTGAGTCTAATCTATGGTTTTTATCGAAATGGGTTGTTAGACTGTGGAAAGTTAAACATTTTTTCAATAAAATGGCTTCATTCTAGGTCTAGAATACTCAAGGTACTTTATTGAGTGCAGTGAAGTGTTTTGTGGATGTATTCTGTCTGTCTTGAGAAAATTGGTTTCACCTTTAAATGCCCAAAGTATAACATTAACTGCTAAAAAAAAAGTCAAAATTGGGGTAGGGCTCAAAACAATGAAGATGTCAGAAAGTTGAAGTCTTCCTGCTGGTGACTGCAGTGAAACCAAATGATTCTTGATAACATTCTTGTCATTTATTATTATTATTTTTTTTTTAGAAAAGAACTCATCAGTTGTTTGTGGGAAAATTTTAGTATTGTAAATATTCACTATTTCTTGCTTGTTTGTTTTGGTTTGAGGTCTACTTGTTCCAAATCTGTCAAATATTGCAAGGTTATTCTGTCACTGTTAATGAATGTGTGGCATATTCTTAAGATTATCACGTACTTTAATAGGATTATTTTAAAACAGCAAAACCTCTCTGGTTTATTTTTATGTTGGTTGTGCCAATCTTGGGTTTTAAATCTTCATTATAATTCAACTGATACCTATTTTTGGTGTATGGTGTTCCTTTAATAATGGCTTTCAAAATAGGGCTTTTGTCCTGGCCAGTTTGGCTCAGCGGTTGAGCGTCGGCCTGCGGACCAGAGAGTCCCGGGTTTGGTTCCTGCTAGGGGCACGTACCACCAAAACAAAAAAACAAAAAACAGGAGCTTTTAATTGAGGGGCAAGAAGAATACTTTTTTATTTCTCATAAGTAATCCCAAAGTTATCTTCAATTTCCTTCCACAGTTTTTATCAGCTTTGCTTGTTGCCAGGCTGTCAGAAAAGTTAGTGTTGTTTGTGAGAGAAGCTGTCATTGCAGATAATCACCAATAACATTACTTTTTTACTTTAAGATTTTATCAGTTTATTTTCAGTAAAATTGAGTGGAAGTTTATCATGTACTCAGTGATTTGCCAGATAAATAAATAAGTCTGTACAGAACCACCTTTGCTGATAATAGCCATAATGCATTTTTCTGAAGCAACATTTCTATCCAGATAAAGAAAAGCTTTTACTCAA